ACATTGCAGCGTTTTCCGTCAAAGGGCTGTCACGCTGTTCAATAATTAAAATGCCAATTAGCTTCCTCTTTGTCCTTGTGTTCATTGTCTTCCAGAAACTTAATCATGTTGGCATGACTGAGGTGAATCCGTTTCATTTGCTTTGTCAACAATCTTCTTGTTTCTTGAGACGAAATGATTCGAGTCCATCGTTCAGTGTCACATTTGCTGTGTACTTTTGGAATTTGAAATCTGGCCTTGACTGAGTGATTGTTCACTGTTGACAGTCATACCATGATAGCTGAAAAGGGATCTCTCTTGCGTTGCTTGCGACCCCGAAATTTACATGACCCCGAATGTGGTCAAAACCCTGTTATAGTTTGGTCGAATCATCGACCCACCCTCGTCATAACCTTAATTGGTGCTGGCACCTATTTCAGCCATATTCCAACTATATGACGGCTGTACATAAATAGTGGGCTATGGTCTTCGGCGTGACGAGCGATCGCTTTGTACAATAGAAGAAGATTGTTTCTTTGTTTGCTGTTTAACGCCGCACTCAGCAATATCCCAGCTATGCGACGACGGGTTTATATAATCGAGTCTGGACCAGACAATCCAGTGGTTGACGTCATGAGCATCGATCCGCGCAGTTGGGATACAGTGACATGCAATCCACCAGGTAACCCAGCTTGACCAGCCAACCCACTGAGGTTTTTTTTACAACGATTGTATGTTGCCGGGTCCCTACGGGTGTCCTCTTGTATTGAGCTATGACCCTAAAAGCTGAAATATTATTCAAAGTAGAATGAAATCCAACTGTGTGTAATCTAGGTTGGACCAGGCACTTAAAGTTTGAGGTTTCTTGCCGTAAGCTAGGTAACAAAAAATCAAAGAGGGACATTGACTCAATCAGCCTAATTATGCATCCCCTCATTATGCTTGCAACATTGTGCTCATTGAAGTCCGACGGACGGAGCCAGAAACTATATCCCGTATATCCTGCATCAATTAGTTGAAGGTGATGTTCATGATATATTTCTGAGTCTTGAAGCAGTGATACATAATTTAACCCGTGAAGATCCTGGTTAGAATAGGTCTCAGCAAACCATGCTTGTAAGAGGCGAATAAGTTGTTATCATATCCCAATTCCGTGGATCGATGCTCATGACATCAATCACTGGATTTTTCTGGGATATACTCGATTACATGTACTTTCAGACCGCCGTCATTTAGCTGGAATTTTGGCGAGTGAGGCGTTAAACAACAAACAAACAAACAAAGACATATGAATAATCTCACCATGCTGAGGATGATATTTTTTCATTCAACCAAATGATTTTATTGATTTTCTAGTTTATTTTGTCATACTTACTTCATTTTTTTATCTCTAAAGGATCCACTAAATGTCAAATTTCCTCACAAATAGGACCAAATCTATTATGAAACTCAATACTTTTTTTATCAAACCTCGATAACATAATAACCGGCAATATATGACTTTGTGTTGAACTTCATTATAGATGGGGGCACGAGGGGTCCAGTCGTCTAAGTCGCCGCGATTCGCTGTGCAGAGTTGCGTCCCTTGGGCACGCCAGAAACCTATGACCGTGGGTTTAAATCCCGGTTCGCCCCGATTATGTTTCTAGGTTTGTCAGCACCATACCTGTGCTCGTGGGTTTCACCGAAGTGGTAAACGTCTGAGACCTGCATCACTTCGGGCTTTCCTCCCACATTAAGCTGACACGCCGTTATAGAACTGAAATACTATTAAAATCGACTTTAAACCCAACTCACTCACTCATAAAAGCTGATATGGAGAGAAATATCATTAAACCGTCTACGTGTTATCAGAAATGAGCGGGCCACTGCAACTTGATAGTGCCCTCATATTGCTTGACGACGGGACATTATCACGCCTTTGTTAGGTGACATCATAGGGATAGGGAAAGGTGACGTCACGTTTAATAGTGACGTCATCGCGACGTCATCTGATTTGTTCTCTGTCGTTTCCATATTTCTTAAAGTGGGGCCATGAAATTCGTGTTGATTGCAGTAATTGTTTTAAAACCGTTGTTTATTTTATTTGATAACAATTTTTTATCCATTTTTGCTATAATAACGGTTATGCTAGTTTTTAAGGCATTAGAATTTGTAGAAGCCCTCGGTCTTTCCAACTGACCTCTTTTGTCCGGCAGTTAATGGAAGACCTCGGGCTTCTGCAAATGATAATGCCCAAAAATAATACCGTTACCCTTACAGTAACCAGTTTAACCGAAGTGCAACGAATCGATATTCCCTTTGTGTCTCTGCAAGCGTGTTTGCTTATATCAAAACACCAGCTGCAGCGAACATTGGCAAATAGCTTATGTTATACAGGTAACACACTCTATTGATTCAGTTTGTTGATACCTTATGAAAGTATTGTTGGAAATCTATACTGGTTGATTATTTTTATAGGAGTCGCTTCGTGCGTACTTCCTTGGCATTGTGGCAAGCTACAGCCTCAGTTCAGAACATGTACAATGATACGTTCATTTTCAAAGGGCGTTAAAAATCAACAACAGACGACACGACATGATGGTAATTGATTTCTGTGTTGTTCTGTTTGTATCTACATACTATATATTATCGTGGGGGTCTGCCTTTGTTTTTCGAAAATATTCGTGCTATTTGACGGAGGCCAGTAAATAATTGAGTCTGAACCTGACTGATTGACTTCATCGAGCATCGATTTTCATGTGCACACCGACGGTGAGCTGTGTCGGCATCAGTGAACAGCTTCTCCTTAGAAACCACAAGAGCAGTGATGCTGAAACTTCACATGCTTTACAAAGAAAGTGCTATCCCAAATATAACACTTGTTACATTTGACCACTTTCTAAATGGTGTTGTTGGTTCATAGTCTTCGGCCATTGAAGCCGTGCCAATTTACACTTGTCAGAGGGGTACACAAAGTACGTGATCTAGGCTACCAGTTGTCGGACTTTCATTTTGTGGAAGCCTCGGTGGCTGAGTGGGTTTGATCGCTGACATTGTGTGCTTGCGATTAGGTGCCTCACACTTTTGCAAGTGTGGGTTCGAATCCCGGACGGTACTCAAGTACTAGAATCTGTACTTTACAAAGAAAGTGTTATCCCAAATATATTACCTGTTACACTTCACATGCTTGTTTCCGAAAATGGTGACACTTGATTTTGTTCAATGTGTTCGAATCCGATTTTTTACGGACATTACTCCGCCATTTTTGTGTGTCATTTTAAGATAAAATGTGTATGTGGAGTGAGTAGTTGATCACGACACATCTGTTCTTTTTTAACGATATATTTAAAACCTTTGCAGTTCGAATAGAGTAAGTGTTGTTTGTATTATTTGAATCTTCATGCAAACGGCTACTGCTGTAGAGTAGCATCTTATTGTTACTACGTTATTAATAATACAGTCAGGTGCGCTACAGTGATGGGAGATAAAGAGATACGTATATAGGATCCAGTGATATATAATACCAAAATGGGAATATTACTTTTGTATTAATTTAGCTGGAAACATTGTATTTTCTACTATGGTGTTCATGTTAAATTGTTTTCACAATACCAGATCTAGTCTTTGAAAGAAAGGCAAGATAATTCATTGATGTCGACCTCTTTATTATGAGGGACACACCATTTCAGAGCATATGCTTTACACTAATTAGCGCTGATAGTAAAGGACCACTGGAAGCCAGGACTTAAATTATCACTGACTGCTAATTGACAAAGGACAATGGGCAACCGGGAAGCTGGGGTTAATTAGCACTGATAGGTAAAAGAATAGAAATAGCAATGGACAAATGGAAGCCAGCTGGATAATGAGCAAGACAAAGATCACAGCAATAAGGGATTTGAGGATGTATATACCAGATCCCCTGAATAGTGGCCACCAGTACATTGGTGAAACCCTCAGACCCCCCAACACCCGACTTAAAGAACACCAAACCTCTGTCTACAAACAAGGACACATCTTCAAGAACCAAGACACCATGTGGGAAGCCACCAAAGTCATGTCTACCAACAACAACAACTGGCTTTAAAAAAAACTACAAAAAGCCATTGACATCAGGAGACACCAGCCAGCCATGAACCGTGACCAGTGAACTTATCTTTCTAGAGCTTGGGACATGTTGCTTTGAATCATGTCGGTGCTAATTATCTTGAGAAAAAAAAAAGATTTAAAAAAAAATTATGTGATATTTTTTTAGAAAAAGTCACCAGGATTAAAGTTTGGTCTCAGAATGCAGGATTTGTACGTCAATTAATCTAGCGTGGCAAAAACTGGAACCTGATTAGGCATTCAGCGTTATTATTGATATATTATTGATGCAAAAAGTACAGCGGTAGATCGTTACTGATCACACCAACGTGTCTAATTGATTCCAGGAGTATTGCTATAATGATACAAACAACAAACATCCGGCAGGACGTGAGAAAAGCTGATGCTAATGGTAATTCACATTGAACGACTGTAACACATTTTGAAATCAGTGCACAGTTTTATTCTATCTTCTTGCCGATTTAGAGATTTTGTCTGAGATGTTGGCTTTTGTAAATGATACTGCGATGTTCTTGTGATAGATGTTAATAATAACGTAGCTGTAGTTATGAAGGATAATCCAGTAATTAAACACTAACAGAACAATTCCTACTTTAACGTCAATTACATAATCTATGCTATTTCTCATGCATCTGTCAATACATTGTAATTTGTACGTGTGTCATGTTTGGGGGAGGCTTTCAGATAAGCAAACCTTGTATGTTTGCCAGTCCCTCCACTGTATGGAAATAAATATGTATATATCAAGCTTTCCGCACTCTTGGAGTACAGTTTTCCAGTGCAGTCAGGCAAGAACAATTATTATACTGAATGCCCGTTTCTTTATATGGGTATGATCAATATCTAAGCATTAACCTGTACATACTCAGATCTCCTCAACTACCCGTTTGTTAGGGTTTCCCTTAACTCCGCCCAGTCATGCAACACAAACATCTTTAGTGATTCGTGGCACTCTTTCCCACTCCCACTGAAGATCACAGACAAGTTGTTGCTTCAGCTTCAACTTCAGAGACAAGTTAATAACAGATACATCACATAACTAGTGGCTTCATCGTGGGCGTCAGACGATCAGTGGTGTTAACAGATATATCACAACGATTGTTGCTTCATCTTGGGCGCCAGAGATACGTTAATAACAGATACATCACATAACTAGCGTCTTCATCGTGGGCGTCAGACGAACAGTGGTGTTAACAGATATATCACAACGATTGTTGCTTCGTCTTGGGCGTCAGAGATACAGTGGTAATAACAGATATATCCCAGCGATTGTTGCTTCGTCTTGGGCGTCAGAGATACAGTGGTAATAACAGATATATCACAACGATTGTTGCTTCATCTTGGGCGTCAGAGACACGTTAATAACAGATTCATTACATAACTAGTGGCTTCATCTTGGGCGTCAGAGACACAGTGGTAATAACAGATATATCCCAGCGATTGTTGCTTCGTCTTGGACGTCAGAGACACAGTGGTAATAACAGATATATCACAACGATTGTTGCTTCGTCTTGGGCGTCAGAGATACAGTGGTAATAACAGATATATCCCAGCGATTGTTGCTTCGTCTTGGGCGTCAGAGACACAGCGTTAATAACAGATACATTACATAACTAGTGGCTTCATCTTGGGCGTCAGAGACACAGTGGTAATAACAGATATATCCCAGCGATTGTTGCTTCGTCTTGGACGTCAGAGACACAGTGGTAATAACAGATATATCACAACGATTGTTTCTTCGTCTTGGGCGTCAGAGACACAGTGGTAATAACAGATATATCCCAGCGATTGTTGCTTCGTCTTGGGCGTCAGAGACACAGTGGTAATAACAGATATATCACAACGATTGTTTCTTCGTCTTGGGCGTCAGAGACACAGTGGTAATAACAGATATATCCCAGCGATTGTTGCTTCGTCTTGGGCGTCAGAGACACAGAGTTAATAACAGATACATTACATAACTAGTGGCTTCATCTTGGGCGTCAGAGACACAGTGGTAAGAACAGATATATCACAACGATTATTGCTTCAGCTTCAACTTCAGAGACACAGCGTTAATAACAGATATATATTCAACGCCAGAGACACCGTATTAACAGCAGACAGATATAACACATGAGACACACCACTAAGGACGATGGCGGTGTTACTTCTCCCCCTTTTCATGACGGCTGTATTTGCTGGCAATACTTGTTACCGGCATACTTTTCAACGGTTTATCACACAGGACAACCTGGCAGCCAATGAGGTCGCATCCGACGTATTCTCAACTCAACATCTGACATCCTGTGCTCAACGTTGTGCTGAGGATGAGAAGTGTGTTGCTTTGACTTATCATGGGGACCAGTGTTCCATCTACAGATCATCTTTGTCGTCATCTGGCATCCCAGGATCCAGATCCTACATCAAGCAAGGAGGTGAGACACTGTTCAGACATGTTTCTTTCCCACAATGTGCATGGCCTCTTATGTGTCCTTAAGTTGTTACAGAACGTACTTGTTTGAATTCCGTCAGTTAGAATATTATGTTTCGTTTGTTGTTGACATCACAATTCTCAAGATATGTGACGGTGGTCTGTTAATAAACGAATTTGGACCAGACAATCCGTTGATTAACACCATGAGCATCGATCTACGCAATTACGATACGACGATATGCATCAACCAAGTCAGCAAGCTATTAGACATTCTGGGTAGTCTAATGGGGGACATTTACACGTCAAAAGTGTAATGAGAGGGCATGGGATACCTGAAGCCATGCAGTTAGCTTTGTAGAGTTACCTGACGTTAGAATGACAGGATCCGATGATCACTTGTACCGAATATGGCCATCGTATCTTATTAGTATCTTATCTTTGTTCGCTGTGTAACTGAATTATGGTAAGGACTAGACATAAACGAGACGAGTGAGACAGCCTCATCTATTTCATACTTAGATCTATGAATAAAGATCTAGAGTGAATAAAACACTCTCAACAAGTCGGTATTACAAAAGGGATGACTTCAACTTTCCAAAAGTCAACTTTCCCTTTATGTCGAACAGTATTCCAGCAGCTCCAAAACTTTTGAGGTTCAGTCGAACATGCTCTTTCTGGCAAGATTTCATAAGCGCCAGGAGACTCTTGCTCAGGAGCTGTTTGATCAAGATAACAACATTCAAGGCCTCAGTAAAGATGTCAAAACGTTTTATGGTAGACACCTGGAGGACAGTTCCAAACTTGACGCGTCCGATGTAGTTCCCTATTTTGACTTGTGCCATATGCGCACGTGTTTTTTCAGGTGAACAATTGACTTCCCTTTGCATGTGTTTGTGACGGGTGCCACCGATGGGGAAAGATACGCTCACCTTTTCTCGAACACTTGGTATCGTCACTATTTGATAGCGATTCATAAATGCTTGCCCAGGATATTTTCGGAATCGCACAATTGATTTGATTTCTTAGGAATATGATTTAATTTAAACAAAATTCTCAAAGCCGGACCACAATCAGTCTCTCACCGAAGCAGATTCCAGTAGGCGTGACAGGCAAAAGAGGAGTTGAGTTTATGATTAGGTCACTAAAAAGAATGTTGAAACCAGGTGTTCACGAAAAGGTTTAGCATGTCCTTCTCTACCCTCAACATCCGGCTCTCGTTGACTTTGCAATGAAAAAGACGCGTTTATTTGTTGACTGACGCCATACAGCTGTACTCGAGTCAATTACTTAAATTGCATATCTAAATAGCATCCAAACCATGGGTGAATTTTCACACTCATGTCAATACCCTGGAAACACGAAATCGTATTTTCCCGTGTATGGTCATTAGACGAGAAAACGACGTTTCTTGGACGCTTTCTAGCCATCGGTTTTCCATCCATATGACGTCGTTATTTGACGTTATATCTTCGAGAGAACGATGTGATCAAGCTCCTCCCTTTTCTTGACTGACATTGTCAATCAAGCAACAGTGTGTACCGATGTTTCTATTTCTCAACTTTTATTGGTCAGCTTTCGCCTTCTCGCGGTCAAGCCGGTGTTCAACCCGTTGCTCTTGGTTCTAAGCGGAAGTGCTGAATTCTACCGTTCTGCGCGTGTAGACGTTTTCTTCTGACGTGCTTGACTTTATTGAACTGTGCTTAAATTTCCCTAAGGCTCTACACGAGTTTGGTATAACGATTGTTACAACAGTGGATTTGATGTCAGCGAAAGTGGCGCGGGAACAACATCATTGACAAATTTATACAGTTTTCATATTCATGTTAATGTTCAAATCATGCCGAGATTTTAGCACAGGAACTCGTTATTGGTCAGTAAATAAAAATATATACCCCTATATGAAAGTAGAGAAAAGGAGCGTCACTCGCCAGCTTGCCGGTTTGTTTACATTCGATATCCGCGGCGATATTTTTATTATACGCTTATTGACAAGCGCATTTCTGGCCGTAGATTGATCGATAATACATTTCTACACATGTACAAGTCATCTACATTCGATTAATGTCCCTTACTTACCGAAATATCGACAGTTTATTTCGCGAGCTGGGAAAATGTTACCAACCCTGAGCGGAAGTAGATTTCAAACGCGGGCAGAATCGAGCGAGCCACCTAGTTGGCTGACCGACTTATGTCACCTCAGCGTGAAAACAACAACACATGTTCCAACACGATTTCATAGAGGTGATATTTTGTTGAGTTCGGCATTACACAACGAAGATCCTGGCTCACTGGAGCAATGGCACTGAACGTCTCATTTGTTCCTGCTGAAGATGTCACCACTATTCATATTTTTTTAAGAGGCTCGGAGCCCAGATATTAATAAGACCCCCACAGTAGCCATTATTTGAAAATCGTATGACATTTGGGATAATAGTTACTACGTATGCTTTAGTCTGTCACACAGACCCTGATACAAATATATCCAATACAGACCATGCAAGTCTATAATGTTTGGCAAGTCTATCTGAAAATGAAGAGAGTATCTGGATTCCTTTTTATTATATTTTTATGAAGATAATTTAACAACCGTTTTTGTCTGCACGATATGTTCATTTCAGAGACTAGGTGTTGGTCTTCATATCTTTTTGCGATAAACTCTTATTGACTTTGGTTCAGTGGCTGACATTGCTGACATATTTAACTGATGACATCATATAAAGGTAAGCCACAGTGACAGGACACTACTTTTCATATAATTCTTTTTAAAGAACTTGTGTCATTATTGTGGATGTGTGTTTAGCTCTACCGAATGCAGACCCGTGCCCCGTGTCTCAAGGCTACACATCGGTCCTCTACCCACGCTTCTGTTTCAAGCTATACAACACCGACCCTTGGAAGAACTGGGCAGACAGCCAGGCCCGATGTCAGAGTGAAAACGGACGTCTGATCATCTTGAACACGACAGAGAAACACGACTACATCACTGCTTTTATGACGAAGGCATCTTCTACGTATGGTAGGTAAAACCAAACATCGTTTCTTTTACCATTGGGGGCACGGGTGGCCCAGTCGTCTAAGGCGTCGCAACTCGCTGTGCAGGTTGCGTCCCTTGGGCACGCCAGAAACCTATGATTGTGGGTTCGATTCCCGGTTCGCCCCAATTCTGTTTCTAGGTTTGTCAGCACCATACCTGTGCTCGTGGGTGTCACCTAAGTGGTAAAAGTCTGAGACCTGCATCACTTCGGGCTTTCCTCCCACATTAAGCTGACACGCTGCGATATAGCTGGAATACTGTTAAAAGCGGCGTTAAACAAAACGCACTCACTCCTTAACAATTTGTTAGTTAATCTGAATGGAAAATATACGTGATGGTAGTGGTGATACGAGTAACATAGACTTAAGCCTATAGTAGAGATGTGTTTTCAGGTCCGGAGTTCGATCCCCGGCCGCGTCATACCAAAAGACGTTAAAAGATCGTACTTGTTGTTACCTTGTCTGGCGCTCGGCATTAAGGGGCTAAAACAAGGACTGGTTGGCTCGGAGTCTGTATACTGTGTCTGAGTGGTGTATTCATGTTAAACTGCGGCATGGTATCTCAGTGGGCTAGCACTATAAATCGGCATCAGTCCGGACTAGTACAAGCAGCCACACACACACATGCACGTACATGCACGTCGCTACATAAGTGCACTAATCTTAGACACAACGTTAAACCCAAATTCACTTCGCATCTTCTTCACAGATACAAGTACGTAAGATTAATGTTTTTGTTCACAGGGGCATTGATTGGACTACATGTGACCAGTTCAACCGACTTTGCCTGGACGGACGGATCAACCTTTCTCCGGGCAGGATCAAACGGATATGGTGGCTTTAGCAGTGGATGTGCATACCTAGTTGAAGAGAAAGTCAAAACCACCACTTGCTCAAATGCAGGATGGTCCTTGTGTGAGATAGTCTGACGCTTGATCAAAAGGGGAGATAGAATCTTGGCTTTGTATTTAATAAACTACACCGTCACATTGATTACCCTGTGGCACGTATCCTCGAATATCCTGGGTAGTATTATCTATTTTATTATTATACATCCCCATAACTTCGTGTTGAGCCTATTCACATTGCATGAGGGGCGGCAGGGTAGCCTGGTGGTTAAAGCGTCCGCTCGTCACGCAGAGGACACGAGTTCGATTCCCCACATGGTTATAATGTGATAAACCCATTTCTGGTGTCCCCAACCGTGATGTTGCTGGAATATTGCTAAAAGCGTGGTACAACCATACTCACTCACTCGCATGAGTTGACATTTTGTCTGTTAAATGTTGACAAGAGAAAATCAGAAAATTCTTTAGCTACATTAATAACAATGTTATAAGCATCCAAGTTAACTAACACCACTAGTCTGGATACATACTCACAGCCTATGCAGTATATCTTTGAAACAAAAGTCTGTACGCCCTTAGCTACGTTAATACCGGTTATGGGGCGGTCATGTAGCCTAGTGGTTAAAGCGTTCGCTCGTCACGCCGAAGACCCGGGTTCGATTCCCGACATGGGTACAACGTGTCAAGCCCATTTCTGGTGTCCCCCGCCGTGATATTGCTGGAATATTGCTTAAAGCGGCGTAAAACACACTCACTCACTCACTCACTCATACCGGTTATAAGCACTCCCAGTTTGATTGGATTGTGCCTACATCAGTACAACTTTGAAACAAAAAAAACATCGATTTTCCTTAACAACATCAGTTTTACATCAGTTTTTCTAACATCACTTTTTAGCAAACACGTCCAATATAAAGTACAAATTTCTATCCCTCAAGCTACCTTAATAACACAGTTAGTAGCACTTTCGGTTTAATGGCCTTGAAGTCCAGTCTCATCCATGAGCTGCCTAGAGATCATGTAAAAACTGCTAAATTTCGATTGTAACTGCGCAAGATATTGTGTATACACATTTCTATGGTGACGCCTACGTCCGCCTGAGTGACCTTCACTTTCATCGTCATCCGGCCACATGCGAGAATTATGGATGTTACAATTAAGAAGTAACTACACAATACCAACAATACTCCCTGGATGAAACTATTAAGAAGTCGGTTTGTGAGTAAATGAACTTCAAGACGATCTTAACATTTCATGTCATGGTATGTCGTGTCCACGGTATCTTTAAGATGTTAACGACGGTAAATTAGAGTGAGTGAGTGAGTTGGGTTTTACGCCGCTTTTAACAGTATTCCAGTTATATCGCGGCGTGTCAGCTTAATGTGGGAGGAAAGCCCGAAGTGATGCAGGTCTTAGACGTTTACCACTTCGGTGAAACCCACGAGCACGGGTATGGTGCTGACAAACCTAGAAACATAATCGGGGCGAACCGGGATTCGAACCCGCAATCATAGGTTTCTGGCGTGCCTAAGGGACGCAACTCTGCACAGCGAGTCGCGGCGCCTTAGACGACAGGGCCACCCGTGCCCCCCGGTAAATTGGAAGGTAGCAATTCTTGTTCCTCTTCACCTCAACTACGGCAATTCTGTCGTACGTCCTGCTGTGACATACACCATTCCTCCCTTGTTTGTCTGACCTACCAGTTTCTGTGGTGGAGTGTATTTATTCCAGCAGGCTGTAGCTGCCTTCCACCCAGTGTTCCCCTCTAATTGTCTGACTATATAGTAATCTTTGTGTATGACTGGATTGATAATTGCTGTAATTTCAGGCCTAATGTCATGCCTATGGTCACAGTTGTTGAGTGGGCTACTTTGAGTTCATTAATTCCCCAGCAAAGCTGTGGGCGTGACAGACAAGTTCAATAAATTCCATTTACAGTGTACACAAACTGTTATGCCAAGTTATATTATTACTAGTGACCTTGAGACCCGTGAAGATTCCGGGTCACAATAGGTCTTCAGCAACCCATGCTTGGCGTAAAAGGTGACTATGCTTGTCGTAAAAGGCGACTAACGGGATCGGGTGGTCAGGCTTGCTGACTTGGTTGATGCATGTCATCGATCCCAATGGCGTGGATCGATGCTCATGACATTAATCACTGGAATGTCTGGTCCAGACTCGATTATTTACAGACCGCCGTCATATAGCTGGAATATTGCTAAGTGCGGCGTGAAACTACATACCAAGCAACCAACCAACTAGTGACCTTGATCGCATCCTATCATACGTCAGAATAATTCCCCAGGCGTGTATGGGAGGTATAGGAGGTACAAAGTGTCTGACATCAGTCAAGTTACAGTGTACACAAACTGTTATACCAAGTTATATTATTACTAGCTTATGGTGACCTTGATCGCATCCTATCACAATAGAATAATTCCCTAGGCGTGTATAGGAGGTATAGGAGGTACGAAGTGTCTGACATCAGTCAAGTTACAGTGTACACAAACTGTTATGCCAAGTTATATTATTACTAGCTTATGGTGACCTTGATCGCATCGTATCATAATAGAATAATTCCCTAGGCGTGTATAGGAGGTATAGGAGGTACGAAGTGTCTGACATCCGTCAAGTTACAGTGTACACAAACTGTTATGCCAAGTTATATTATTACTAGCTTAAAGTGACCTTGATCGCATCCTATCATACGTAAGAATAATTCCCTAGGCGTGCATAGGAGGTATAGGAGGTACGAGGTGTCAGGCATCAGTCAGACGCACGTGGTTGCGAAAACCAATTGTGGCGGCGAAGCTCAAATTCGAGCAAACATTAAAGAGCCCGTCTGGCAAATCGTCACGTTAATACTTAGATATATCCTTACGAAAACATGTGATATTTACCTGATGCACTTTAGGTTATATATAACCTGTGATATCGAGCACCTGTTCATTGAGCAATTGTCCCACAGAACTATATTATCCACGTCTTTGAAAGGTATTTAGAAGTGATACACATGAGGAGGAGAATGCATTGATGTTAACTTTTTAATGAGGAACACAACGTTTCACAGTATATACTTACTCCTTCACCATTCACGTGTTCCTCATAATTAAGAAACTGACCACCCATACTAAATTCTCCTCCTTGTATTACCCACGTGGTGAAGAGGTGGTGAGATACTAGTATCGTACATCACACTTCGGTCGTTTGTTGACCTTGTGTTATTCGTTTCAATTGGTATAACCGCTGCCTCGCTGACGTCGCTGAACTTTCTTTTTAATGTCAGGACTTTCTTTAACCAAAGAAAACGCCACTCGCTTCATACTTGCTTTGAATTCCACATTAGTTTGGCATAGATCAACTACAGATATACTATCGAGACATATCCATTTGTCATCGACATACACGTAGACAGGGCCTGCGTCTCTTGGTCAGTGCGACGTAAAACCCAACTCGCACGCACGCACGCACGCACGCACGCACGCACGCAGTCATTCACTCACTCACTCACTCTTGTCCTCCGATTGTGATAATTGACATTGATTGGTCTATATCTTCTACATGAAAATTATAAGCTCTAGACATGCTATATAAGGCTTAGGGTGGTTATACTCAAGGAATCTATTGCACAACCAAGATTTTATGTGGACTTGAAGTCTATTAAAAACATGATTTTGTCAATGATATAAAAATCTGAGATATATTTTTTTTCACGTCACTGGTGTGTTCAGAATGCATAGAAATGTCTAGACAATGATTATTTTATGAACCAATTATTTTTTAAATCGTTTGCTTGCAGAATTGTAAATAAAATGGAGATGCATTAAAAACTGCCTTTGTGGGTTTTTTTATCACACAAGTTACAGTGAACTGTATTGTAGGTGAGGTGAGGTGAGGTGAGGTGAGGTGAGGTGAGGTGAGGTGAGGTGTGGTGTGGTGAGGTGAAATGGGGCTTAACGTCGCATCCAAGATTATTGCACTCATATAGCGACGTGCATGTACGCTCGCGTGTGTGTGTGTGTGTGTGTGTGTGTGTGTGTGTGTGTGTGTGTGTGTGTGTGTGTGTTCGGCTGCTTGTACTAGTTTCGGACTGATGCCGATTTATAGTGCTAGCACACTGAGATACCATGCCGCAGTTTAACATGAATTTCGCTGACTGACTCCGAGCCGACCACTCCTTGTTTTAGCCCCTTAATGCCGAGCGCCAGAGCATTTGTATGAGGTTTCTAGGTTTGTCAGCACCATACCCGTGCTCGTGGGTTTCATCGAAGTAGTAAACGTCTGAGACCTGCATCACTCCTGGCGTTCCTCCAACATTAAGCTGACACGCCGTGATATGACTGGAATACTCTTAAAAGCGGCGTTAAACCCAACTCACTCACTCCAGTGATGAACTACGTGGACCCGAGCGAGGGTTCAATATGTTTGCTTGGGTATGCATTGTAGCCATTAGGACCAAACATCTACGTGTCCAGTATTAAGTAAAGCTTTTATATTGGTATTCAATAATTACTTCGCGCACTGTAAAATAGTAAGTCAAATACACTAGCATCTTTTCAATGAATAACAGTCCTCCTTCGCGACAACCATGTTTAAAATCTTTACTGGCTTGGACCTCACGGTGGGGTGGTGGTTTGTGCAATGTACACCTCAGAGACAAGCCTGGTTTTAACAAATTGCTTTGACAGATGTTCTTGACCTAAGTGACATTATGCGACATGGTATTTCATAATTCAACATTACATTTTGTTTCACGTGAACTGCCGATATGTAATAGGATGTAGTTTATATTGCACAGGGGATACAATTTATCCATGCAACGTTGTACTGTTATATGCCCTCATGTCGTAATCCTAGTTTTGAAACCACCACACAAAAGCACTAGGGTGTATCCGGAGAGGTAAAACCATAAGGCTTTCAACACAGATGAAGCTTTAACTTAAGTGACCTAAATACTCACCCACCATAATTTATTATGTCTATCGCATCAATCTTCTTTAAGATATTTTCAAAAAATATACAGTACATGAGAAATGTATTACCATGATGTTACCAACTTCAAATCTTCTTTTTTTAAACAATGTGGCTTCTTGTCTGTAATATTGGCTTCTCAAAACTCAATATGAACATTTAAAAAAAACAAAAAACAATAGCCTTGTTGCGCAATACATGTATAATGATTGAGAAAAATCGTTATTGTTAATTTGAATACTGTGTTAAGTAAATACCCATTTTATTTGGACACAGAAACACACTTTGTGTTAATCA